GTGCAGTGAGTCTCGGTTTGATTCTCATCCAGACTCTCCCCTGCCACTGCCACCTCCTTCAAAAGTGTCTCCTTCTCACAAATGTGACCGTTGTGTGAATTCGAAGTAAAGATTGGTCGAACACAGTAATGGCTCCTCTCGAGTTTGATTTGAGGACAGCGAGAGGGTTGTGAAATAAAGAGCTCGACTCGCGGGTTCGGTTTTGTTCGAGATGCTTTATTCAGACATTGTGCACACACAGCAAGCGACCCAACAAGAACAAGGTGCAGTGAGTCTCGGTTTGATTTAGTTTCACACGATCCGGGTGTACGTTGTAGAGGTTGCCAGCGTCTTTAAGTCAGTGCCCATTTCCCATCGCTCTGTTTCTCGTCCCTCTTGTTCTTCTTCTTGTTGGTGTTGTTGTTGCTGTTGTTCTTTTTCTTATGCTTTTTTGCATGCAGATGGGCACTTTCCACTTCATTGCACCCTTGGACTTAGGTTTCTGCTTGGAGTGCACGTTCTGCTCACTCTGCCTCTTTTCTGTGTACTCCCTGAGTAGTTTTTCAAAGGTCGCGGCAGAGTGTTTCAAGCGTTCCGTGTTGTATTTTTCCAGAGCCTCGCGTTTCCACTGTAGATTGACAATGCCGGTGATGGGAACGTTACCGAACTTTGTACGACTCCTCCGGGCCGGCTCTGATCACTTTATCGACAAAGTCTCTCTTGAACGTTATCCCACAGTGCAAGCAGTTCCAAAATGTGTGAGAAGGGCATGTACACAGAGGCTGCTGCTGGTGCTGCAGACTGAGCGTTGACTGCATCTGACATCCCGGGCGCTTGAGACAACCTGAAGCCCACATAGTCTCGATCAAACACATAGATTCCATCGCTGGCCATGTCCTCTGGCGAGTCTCCCATTCGTACGTAGTCCTATCTCAACTGTCGAAGCATACAATAGGCGGTGATGTGCGAGAATTACCATATGAGGGAAGCTATTTTTCTGTTGTACGTGGTAGGTTGGGCCGTTTTTTGCAACTGCAGCTCAACCCCCTTGTCCAACGGTACTGCGATCAGAGAGGCTCTCTTGGACACGGCTATGCTCTTCACGAGACTCGAAGCTGTCTCTACGGGAAAGCCCGAGGCTATCAAGTGCTTGAACAACACGACCCTCCCGTGACGTTGTACCGGCGCTGGTGTCTACGAACGGGGCCTATCATCGCCATGCACACGTACGAGAGCAGCTTGTCGTTTGTGCCCGTCGAGGCCGTGGACCTCAGGCTCGTTCTCAACCCTTCCGCCTTCAGCCGAGCCCTGCG